AAAAAGAGAGTGGGGGGGCCCTGCCAGGAGCTGAGGTGCCCCATTCTGCAGGGGAACTGCACCTCCTGCGAGGGGCTGGACGATGCCAAGGACTACGCCCACGTGCGCTCCGCGTTGAAGATCCTCATGTTCTCCGATGCCGAGCACTGGGACCTCAGCAAGCTGCTGGCAGCCATTTTGCACCTGGGGAACGTGGAGTTCACGGGTAATGTTCCCCTCCAACACCCCTGGGGAGTCGGGGGCAGGGACGGAGAGAGAGGGCCCCTCAGGGCTCTCCCCTGAAGAGCCGCCGAAGTCAAAGTCACGTGGTCTAACCCGGTCCGCAAAAAAGACCTGGAAGTTTTAGCTATAATTTCGGAGGCCTTGTGGGGTTAGGGAAAAGATGTTGAAGATTAGGGCACTCCAAAGATGAAGACGCCATCAGTCAGCCCCCACACTTAGCTGGCACCCCAAAGAGCTCCCCCTCGAGGTGTGGGTGAAGCAGAGCAGACGGCCAGGCACGGACTTGCAGACCAGCTAGTTGGCATCGGGTGGGTGGTCCGGGGTGTGCTGGCCTGGATGCCGGCCCGAGCCCCTGCGCAGAGGATGCAGAGAGACCAGCATAGGCTGAGCCGGAGTCCTAATGAGACAGGGGGAGGGATCTCCGAGGGAAGGCGGGGAGGGGGGCGGAGGGGGTAGGTAATCAACCAAAGCCCTTGCATATATGGACACAGACAATAGGGTGCTGAAGGCCTAGGGCAGGGGTGGGCGGGAGGAGGGCAAGGGGAGGGGGAAGGGGGACGCATGTAGTACTTTCAACAATAAAGAATTATTTAAAATTTAAAAAGAAAAAGAATGGGCATAGGCAGTATTTGAAGAGATTATGGCTGGCTCAGAACTCATGACACACCAGTTCACAGAGCCGTGGGAAAGGACAGACTTTAGTAAACATCTGGAGCAATTGGGCGTCCACGTGGAAAGCATGACTTGGACCACTGCCTCTCACCTGCAAGGACATCTACTCCGATGTGGCCGCCCTGCGGCCTGCGACCACACGGGCCCTTCTGCCAGGGAGACGGGTGCCCGTGCGACCAGCCGGGGCATCAGGACATGGAGGCGTTTAAATGTGATGCTGAGGAAACGGAGCCGGGCACAAAGAGTAGATCGTTACATCCCCTTACGCAGAACTTAACAGCAGGTCAAGCTGGATGCTGCTCAGGGATGTAGATCTAGTGAAAAAGTACGGGAGGAGGGCAGGCTCCAGGAGCTGGGAGCGCGCCTGCCTCTGGCGGTGGGAAGGCGTCGCAGGAAGGACCGACAGGCGGGCGCTGTCACTTTGCAATGGCTGCACAGTGCTGACTTAATAATTATCCACTGTAACATGCGTTAGGGTTCTATGCACTTTTTTATCTCTATGCTTTATTGTACAATTGTTTGTTTATGGCTAATCCTCACCTGAGGATATTTTTCCATTGATTTTTAGAGAGTAGAAGGGAGGGGAGAGACAGAGAGAGAAACATCGATGTGAGAGAGACACATTAATTGGTTGCCTCCTGCATGCACCCCGACCAGGGCTGGGATCATGCCTGCAACTGAGGTACATGCCCTTGGCTGGAATTCAAACCCAGGACCCTTCAGTCCATGGGCCGACACTCTATCCACTGAGCCAAACTGGCCAGGACAATTGTACAATTTTTTAAAGTTAAAACACACACACACACACACACACACACACACACACACACACGCAGAAGCAATACTCCCTCCTTCCCCAATCCTGGCAGCCCTAAGGTAGAGGCTGACTCGCAGAGGCGGACCCGGAGTTAGGGAGGCCTGCTCGCGAGTGCTGGCCCAGGTTTCCATGCACAGCAGTGAGTTAAGGGGCTGATGGCTCCTCTCCTCCTTAATGGACCCCTCTGCCCCGCCCCGCAGCCCCGCCCAGCCCACCGAGCTTCTCCCCGAACAAATGGGGGTTTCTCCCTTCCTTTTGGGCCAGGCCCTGATCTGAGGGGCAGAGCGGGAAGGGTGGCCTCGGGGGCACTGGCTCCTGGGGCCTGGGCTGTCCGGCACTTGGGGTGCTTGGCCACTCAGCGGCCACCTTCTCCCTGCAGCTGCAGTCTTTGAGAACCTGGATTCCTCCGATGTGATGGAGACGCCTGCCTTCCCCACGGTGGCCACGTTCCTGGAGGTAGCCTGGCCTGGTGTCTGCCAGCTCCCAGGGGTCAGCTGACAGACCCCTGACCCCTGATTCCCATAACCCTTCCCAGGCTCTCAGCTCAGCCCATGCACCTTCTGCCATGGCAGGCCGGGGGTGGGAGCAGAGGGCAGCAGTGTGAGCTCACCGTTAGCCACGTAGCAGAACGATGGCTCACTCTCCACCCGCTGGGCCGCTGACCCTTCCCTGGATCTTCCCGGCTCCCACCAAATGCACCTGCCCGCAGCCTCGTCCCCAGGCTGCCCAGAGCTGCTGCTCTGGAAAGGGAGGCATGCTCACACCATTGGCCTCCGCAGACCCTGAGAGACGGAGCCTCAGAGCCTCGCTTCAGGCGGCAGCCCGCAAGGGCAGGGAGATGCCTTTGCACTGGGGGGACTGGGCCACTTCCACGCCACAGCCCACTGGCTGTTCCGGTGTGAAAGTAATGGAATCAGAAGAGAAAAGAAGGGAAGGAAGGCAGAAAAGAAAGGGAGGGAGGGAGGGAAGAAGGGAGGGAGGGAGAGAAGAAGGGAGGGAGAGAGGGAGGGAGGGAGGAAAGAAGGGAAGGAAGGCAGAAAAGAAGGGGAGGGAGGGAGGGAAGAAGGGAGGGAGGGAGAGAAGAAGGGAGGGAGAGAGGGAGGGAGGGAGGAAAAGGAAGAGAAACAGTCCCATTAGGCACATTTTGCTGCTCATGTTCTTCATTTGGAGCAGAGTTCTTAGAAACATTGGGTATTTGCCGGCTTGGTCTTCCCTGCCCTGGGGGCGGGGGCTCCCTCGGGCCTGCAGCCTCCAGGAGTGACGGGGTGGGGCATATCCCACTGCTGCCAAGGCCTGGCCGCAGAGCCAGCCCTGCCCTGGCTCTCCAAGGCCCACCATGGGGTGATGACTCCTTCCTGCGCCCAGAGGCCAGCCCAGGGCTGGTCAGCCGAGCAGCTGGTTTGCTCAGGGCCCAGCCGGTGCGCCCCAATGTTCGCCAGGCCCTCCCAGGTGCGACTCTGTTCCCCCCTGGCCTGGCCCTAGTCACGGGCATTGCCCTCCCTCCGGCCTGGGGCGTATGTGTCAGTCATGAGAGGGAACGAGACATGGCACAAGCAGGTCAGAACCCTGGAGCCAGCCCTGCCGGGTCAGCTGCCCGCCTCCTTCCAGGTGACGCAGCAGGCGCTCCGGGACTGCCTGGTCAAGCACTCCATCGCCATCCGCGGGGAGCTGGTCGCCAGGCCGCTGAGCACCACCCAGGCTGCCGACCGGAGGGACGCCCTCGTCAAGGTGCGGAACGGAGGGAGGTGGAGAGCAGGACAGCGTGGGCCGCTGGCCTGTCCAGCTCTGCCGGCGCCTGCCCGCTGACTGTGGCCCCGCCTCCCTGGGCGTGGCCTCTTGCCTGTACAACAGGGACGGTGCCCTTCAGTAGGTCTGAGCGCAGCCTTTCCGGTGAGTTTGGGGAGGGGCAACCTTCCTCCTGGCCCACAGCCCATGGGCTGCACCCGTGTCTCCTCAGGGCATCTATGGGCACCTCTTCCTGTGGATCGTCAAGAAGATCAACGCTGCGATTTTCACTGCCCCCACCCAGGACCCGAAACATGTGCGAAGGGCCATTGGCCTCCTGGACATATTTGGCTTTGAAAATTTCCAGAACAATAGGTATGAAAGGATGGTCTCTTGCCCACCTGCTTTCAGGAAATGGACGATAAGCCCACTCCTCACTGACCATGCAAGCGGGCAGCCATTCCTCCCCCAGGGCTCCCACTTCCAGCCCAGCGCAGGCTGAGCTGCGGAGAAGGCGAGTCTTCCTGCAGGGAGCTGGTCTGTGTGCCCCCAGCACCCCCGCGGGGCAGGAGGAGGCACAGAGCGAGAGCACCCGAGAGCACCCCTCTGGGGCCATCTGCTCTCCTCATGAATCCGAGCGAGTAATCAGGTGGGGTTAGTGTGAAAATGAAAGTCAATGACATTGGCTGGCACCTCCAGGTGCTCTGTCATGCTTGGTTAGGGTTAGGGTTAGAGTTAGGGCTAGGACTTGGATTAAAGTTAGGTCTAGGGCTCGGGTTAGGGCTAGCGTTAGGGTTATGATTAGGGTTAGGGCTATGGTTAGGGGGAGGGTTAGGATTAGGTTTAGGGTTAGGGCTAGGGGGAGGGGTAGGATTAGTTTTAGGGTTAGGGTTAGGGTTATGATTAGGGTTAGGGCTATGGTTAGGGGGAGGGTTAGGATTAGGTTTAGGGTTAGGGCTAGGGGTAGGGGTAGGATTAGTTTTAGGGTTAGGGTTAGGGTTATGATTAGGGTTAGGGCTAGGGTTAGGGGGAGGGTTAGGATTAGGTTTAGGGTTAGGGCTAGGGGTAGGGGTAGGGTTAAGATTAGGTTTAGGGGTAGGGGTAGGGGTAGGATTAGTTTTAGGGTTAGGGTTAGGGTTAGGGTTAGGGTTAGGGCTAGGGGTAGGGGTAGGATTAGTTTTAGGATTAAGGTGAATAGAAAGTCAGGGACATTGGCTGGCTGGCACCTTCAGGTGTCCTGTCCTGCTCAGTAAGGTGAAGAGGGCCGTCCCTGCTGTTGGGCAGGGGAAAGGCAGGGCAGGCCTTCTCTGGCCGGGTCCCTGCAACCCTGAATGGAGGCTGAATGGAGCCAGGAGGCAGGTCAGAAGAGTACCCCCCAGCGGTGAAGTGATGAAGGCTAGGGTGAGGGGAGGCTGGGGTGTTGAAGGGCAAGGATAGCGGAGGCTCTGGCACATTAGCAAGTGAGGGAAGTGAGGAGCGAGCAGGAAGCGCCTGTATGCAATCTACTAGCAGCTTCTCAGGCGAGCCTGGCTCATCATTGGCAGGGGTCGCCCAGGACTGGTCCCACGAAGTGGGGCCTTGGGCTGTCAGAGCAGCCTGGACCGGACCGGCCTTCACAGGCCCTGCCCCGGGCCCATCTCCACAAGAGCCTGAGGGCCCCTTGGTGAGCCGGAGTGTCAGACACAAGCCATTCCCCGTGCGAGCCCCTCGTGGCGGCTCCAGCCGGCTGTGCGGGCAGGGCAGCAGCATGGGCAAGGCTGGCAGAACCGCCCAGTGACGGGAGCTGAGAGGTGGCCAGGCTGTGGTTTCTGTCCTCAAGGGAGACAGTGGGCAAACCAAGCTGGAACCCTTCAGGAGCATGAGTAGTGGGTTGTGGGGGTCAGGCCATTGACGCAAGGAGCCCTCCCGGAAGGGGCCAAGGGCCCTTTGTGACAGGGCTGCAGTCTGCGGCCCGGTGACCGGTCACTCAGCCATGCCCCCCACAAGTGTCCATGGAGCCTGCTCCAAGCAAAGCGTGGGGAGTGGGGGGCATGCCCACCTGTGCCCTCACCTCCTGGGTCAGCAGATGTGGAACAGCCAGTCCGGGTCTGATGAGGTTTCGCAGCGATCGGCAGCCATCCTGAGCAGGAAGGCCTGTCGGAGACCGGGGATGCCATTGGCCTGGGCGGGAGGCGGGAGGCGGGAGGCGGGAGAGGAGCTCTGCTCATGTG